CTAACTATATTGCGAAGAGATGGTTAAGTGAGGCGAAGTCTGATACTATAAACAAATAATTTATTTTAATGACTTATGAAATAATAAATTTGTTAATTTTATAAATCTTAAAAAAAAAAAATTTATCTATGTTTAGACAAATCTTTTTGATTATATATTAACTTTACTATTTAGCTGTAATATTAGCATTTCTTAAAACTTTTTATTAATATATATTTATAATTTTACTTGTTTAAATACAGTTTGCCACTGCATACAGTACCTGAATACATGGTACTGTGTGAGGAACCGGGTACTTTATTTGGGGAATATATCATATGAAAAGTAATAAACTAGTATAGTTATACCTCCGCGTATTAATTGAATAATGACAGATAACGAGTTTTTTGAGAAGGATTCATATCTGTGAAATCATATCCTGTTTTTCAGTTACAGGTGTCAAACGAATATTATCCTTTCAAGGTCAAAGAGGAAACCATAAACGCTAATACTGTTAATCAGTATCAACAATGCTATTAAAGCTTATAATCGCACTCTTAAGGTTGGTTAAAATAAAACCTTTAATGTCATTAAAAAAGAAGCTTTGGATGCCATTAAAAAAGAAACTTTTAATAAATTAAATGAAAAAGTTATATACTTTCTACATGAGATAAATCGGTTAAAAAACATTATTAGCATTGGTAGAAAAAAAATGTAGAAAGAATTGTACAAGTACGTATGCATTAATTATTTTTTACAACAGACGTAGAAATATGGTTTCAAATAATCTAACTAGCATTTATCTCAGATAAAAAATAATTGTTCGAATACTTTTGTACGGATTTGGTAGATTTACCCGACATCCCTTTTTCCTGACACCCATTTCACCGAACCTATTTCCCCGACAGCTCAATTCCAATCATATTTGCTTTCACGATCTATCTCCGGCCAACACTAACAATAAAGCGGGCCAACCCTAGCCCTAAATCGGGCCAAATAGTCGACGCACCCAAAAAAGTTTCGAGTATCACGTGACAAATATATCGGGCACCAAAATTTCATTTAACAAAAAAAATTTAGACTAAAAAAATAATAACGACAAGTAATAAATTATTTTATTTACATCAAATAAACTCAATAAACGTAATATTTATTGTAGTCAGAAAAGTATTATGATTACGGTTTTTCTAAGTATTTGGAATATTTCATTGCCTTTTAAAATGATTATAATCCAAAGTTTTTATCAATACTACGTATCGTTACTATTTGGATTCATTATGTTTTCCTCAATAATTTTTTGTTGTTGCGTCCTGGATTCAGAATTATAAAAATTTTTTGCTCAAATAAATATAATCTTCCGAAAGAGCATTAAAAATAAAATCTACAAGGTTTTCTGGTGTAATTACATTTTCTTAATTAGTTTTTATTCTTTTTTGTTTTATTATTAGCGTTAGTGGATATTTGGTTAAAGCAATCAATGTATATTTCTAGAATAGTCTGTTTATTGGATTAACGATCACTTTTACACCTGATCTTGAAATCTGATTGGCCAGCGGAATTTATTAGGTCGGTAACGCTAGGACAACACACGTTCAGACGTGAGTCGAGTCCCAAACTTGACTTTAGACCGAGCTTTCATAAGACTCAACTTTTGGAGTCAAGTCGGGCCGGACCAGACTTTTAACTAACATCCTTGCTGGAATCGACAAATTTCTCCAAAAATCATCCAAAATTTTACTAATGAAACGTATCAAGTAAAACTGTCCAGATGATAATTTTGCTGTAGTATAGTTGGCTGGTATTATTGCTTAATACCAGCCTAGCTCCGGGTCTATTCCGACCCTAAATTTTGGTCGATCTGCTGAATTTTTGTTGCTCCGTGGTTTGTAATCCCTCCCTTTCTTCTCGATCCGTTGACCCTTGTCAACATGCATTAAATAAGCGCAAACCTGTAACCAACCATAATAAATTATTAAATGTTTTCCTCTCACGCACTCAAATATGTGAAACAATTTAGCTGCAGTTTCTTTTTTAATAAAACGGTTAGCCAAGTTATCTCAGTAACCACTCACCAAAAAAGGAGTTCTGCTAAAATTTTTCAAAACTCTTATGAATTGATAGGCTTATCTAAAAAAAAAATTTTTTACAGGAAATTTGAACTTGTTGAAGCATCCTTGTTCAATATTTTAATATTCATTGTAATTTCATTTAGCTCAGGGACTTTGGATAGGATCTACGTCCCATGATGGTTATATGTAACAACGAATACTTAACAATATGTAACAAAGATCTGTTAAGTCAATTTTTGGTAAAACAATAAAAAATGATGCACATAATACGTATAAAATTATACGTATAAATGATATGTGATACACTCCTTAGATGTTGCAAGTTGATTAAAGAAATACATTACAAAAAACTGTTATTGGTAATTAATAATTACTTTGTTTTTTTAAGATTTCTTACAAAAAATACAATTGGCATGTTGCCTACCTGGGCACCTGTCGAGAATATTATGCGAGTCGAGATATGAACATTTATTGTTCGCTATATCTTAATATTAATTTCATGTAATATAAACCGCATAATATTAATTTGTTCTTACATATGTATGCATATTATAGTTATCTTAATTGCGTATGTACATTCGTACATAGGAATATTTAATAGGTACGTACATAGCAGCTAATAACTTGACAAGTATAAAAGACGAGTTGGTTTGGCTTCATTTTCTTTAAAAAAAACAAAAAAAAACCAAAAAGATCAAACTAAATCCGAAAAAACTTATCATTTAATTTTTTAATTTTTATTTTTTTTTTAAAAAAAAAAATCAAACAAAATGTTATCAAGAAAATTTTTCCTTTTGGCTATTGCCTTGACTTGCGCAATTTTTATGGAATCGGCTATTGCTGCTACCTATAGTGACTTTACGGGTAATACCACTAATGCTCTCTCAGGTCGATTTTTCTGGACCCCTATATCTAACGCAACATTTAATGGATTTGAATTTTCCGGACAAATGAATTCTGGTCTTACTGACCCAGACGCCTCACATTATTCGTTCGCATTAAATAACACCGACACCAACACTACAGCTTTAGACATGACACAACAAATTGTTAGTGTACTTAAAATTGTTGCACAAGGTTGTGCACCTCTTCAAATTGATTTCCCTAATGTTATGAATTTTACCGGAAAAGCTTTTGTCGTTGGATTGAATGGTGTGCAAATTGGCATTGCCCCACTTATTAGTCAATAAAATTGGAGAATTTAAACTTTTATTTATTATAAAATAGATATTAATCATAAACATATCTGTTTCTTTTTTCAAAAAAACAAGTGTTCAATTTATTTTTAATATTAAAATTTTACAACCAATTTTTTTATAATTTGTATTTTAATATTATACTCTCATAGCATAGTAATCTTAAATCTATAATTGAATTTGTTATAATAAATTCTCACACATAAAAAAAATTTTTGAAGTTATCAATAATGTCTGCATCTCGAAGTTAACCAATTGCAAGTTCTCAAATGATAGTAATTTCGCATGATCAATGCTAAATGTTTATGCATCAATATTCATTATAAACTATACCGTAAATTGTTTAAAGTTAAACTTCAGCTAATATTACCCCTCTTCTATTAATGATATTATAATTATGTAAACATCAAAACTAGTATTAATAGGGGTCGTTAAAGCGGGGTAATTAAAAGGTTGCTTTTTTGATGCAGTTAGGGTAATCATTTTATATAGATATCAAGAACACAATTATGCAATGTGTAGATCCTCATATTAAGTTTCGAAAATCATGTGATATTGTCAATTCATCATGATTAGATCATGATAATATTTATTAAAATATTTAACGTTAACATAATTGATTTAGTGATTTTTTTTCTTCGATTCTTTAAAGTGAAAAGCGATCGTTAAAAACATAAAATCCAATAAACACACTGTTCTAAATATATATGTTGATTACCGTAACCAAATTTACATTAATAAATGAAAAAAAGAATGAGAATCGAAATAAACTTATAAAAACTAATCAAGAAAATGCAATTGAATTATCAGCAGCAAAAAATTATTAAAGAAAACAAATCATAACAAATGGCCCGATAGTATTAAAACTTTATGCCATTGCATAAATTGATTTTAAAAGGCAATGGAATGTTCCAAATTCTTAGAAATCATAATACGTTTATTGAGTTATTCGAAAAAAAATACTAATTTATTACTTATCGTTATTATTTTGTTAGTTACATGAATTTTTAGTGCTCGATATATTTGTCACGTGATATTCGAAACTTTTTGGGTGGCGATTTTTCCCCGGTCGATCTGATTGGTCGAGTTATGATCACCTGCAAAACTCAATTAAGGATTTTTGTAAAAATTTTTAACTTAAACTACCATCATAGGCAGAAGTTTGTCTGATTGGCCAATAAATTCAATTTAATTTTACATTATTTATACAGTTTGGAGTACTTTTTAAAAAACGAAAACCAACTATAATAAAGTAAAAAAGAACATATGGAAGGTTTCTTTAGAACTGTAGGACTTCATAGCCAAAATCAAGCTAATTTTTTAAATCAATGAGAATTAGAACTATGGAGTCCTACAGCTCTAATGAAACCTTTTATATGTTTTTTTTTTACTTTATTATCGTTGGCTTTTGTTTTTTTAAAGTACTCTAAACTGTATAAATAATGTAAAATTGAATTGAATTTATTAGCCAATCAGACGATCTTCTGCCTATGACACTTACGCTGACAGGTAGGGATGTTAAATTGCAAATCTGGTCCGATCCGATCCTAGGATCGTACCGGATTTGTTATGAGTTAATCGATCCCAGGATTAGATCCTGAATTGTGATCCTCCAAACAAGTTCATCCAATCAGATTGATAAACTTTTTTTTATTATATCACGACTATTTTATTACTTAAATGTATCATATAAAAAACTTTTACATAAAAAAATAAATTTATATAAAAAAAGAATTAATTTTTTTGTAGCTACGTATAACTAATAATGTAATTATAAAAATAATTTTTTTATAAAAATAAAATTCATAATTAAAATTAGAGTTAGAGTAAGAATTGGAATTTGATATAAATATTAATAGATACAAAATTTAGGAATAATTTTTTTTTGTTAGAATATAGAAGATGGTTTCATAATCAAAATTTTAAGTTATTAATAATTTCTTCAAAAAACTAGTATTTGTTTTAATTTTACATTATATTTGATTCTAAAATTTAATTAGCTTTATTGAATAACTATATGTAACCATGACTATATAAATATTTTTTTAAAATAAATTCTTTTTTTTTTTTAACTTTAGCAGTCATGCTAGTATTTTATTAGGATTCTTGAAATTATACAGATTATATAAAATTTTCTGATATATAAGTTTAGCATTACTTGATCACCTAAATGGTACCTAAGTACAACCTGTTACATTATTCCAGTTAGAGATAGACTGCTTATTTGACTGCCACCCTACAATAGAACATCACCAATCTGATGACATCTTTTCATAGAGAAGTAAAAAACAAAAAAAAAGAAATTTTTTATATAAAAAAAACAAAACAGAGATATAAAGATAAATGATAAAAAATACAAATTAAGAAATAAAAAGGAAATAAGAAAAAAGAAAATGTATAAAACTTGCAATTCACAAATATCAGATGATCACAATTGTATGTCTGTGTTAGGCCTTTAAAAATTATAAATTATACTAAATAGAAATAACTCTACTATTTTTTTATTTACTTAGATTATTTAACAAAAAACTATATAGAAAAGAAAAATTTTTGACTTAATTATAAAGGGTTGATATAGAGTACTAGTTAGTCCAGAAGCAGTATTTCAGGTTTTTAGTATTTTGAGGCATGTGTATACTTATGTTTGTATTATTATATTGTTTCTGATCTATATCATCAACAAACTCATTTAAGAAGTAAACACTGCTAACTATTTTGATAGTTTTACATATCAATCTTTAGAAGAGGGTAAGCTAAATTGCCCACTTTTATAAAATTTCTTCAAAGCAAAGTAAAGATAAGAGGTAAACTAACTTTGTAGCTTTTATGAGTTCTTGATCTTTATAGGTGTTTCTTGTAGATTTTACAATTATATAGAACTAATATATCCAACTTTGTTATTTACTTAATAAAAAACTTTGGTTTTTACTAACTACTTCTTCTATAGTTTCAAAGTGCATTTAAATCATCACTACAAAGTTGTAACTTCTTTTTCAACTTTATTTCAATATTCAACTATGCATGTACAATATTCTGAAAAAGTTTTTATAAAGTTTAATATATTAACTATATTGTTTTTTTATAGTTTAGCTTTTTGAAAAGTTTGGTTTGAATGATTATTGAAAAGAGTTAATTGAAAATAAAAATTCATATAAAAGAATTTTTTATAAAAAATATAACAAAAAAACTATATTTGTTATTTTTTAAACATTAATATTACTTATTGTTTATTTAACTTCTTATATTAGTCTTTCAAACATAATAATAAATGCATTACTTTAGAATTTATTTTTATTATTATTTTTTTTTTTAAAATGACCTTTTTGGTCTTTTGACTTTTATTAATTACTTATTGGTATTGTGGTTCAATGAACCATTACAAAAGAGTGTACAATTGGCTATATATATAACTTTTCTATATTATCTATTTAAGGAGTCTGCCTAAAGGTTTTCTACCAATTGTCATACTTAACATCTTTGCTTGGATGTTTCACTTTAAACTCTCTAAACCTGTAACCTGTATTAATATCACTGAGTTATACTTAGATATTCAGATTATTGTCTCAACCTTAGAACTAATTTATCCTTAAAATAAACCTTTTAGAGCCTTTTGTACCTATTTTTATAGCTAACCTAGATATTGCTATGACAGAACCAATACTTGTGATTAGTGCTAATCATTAAACCACTATGTTCTTATAGAGTTTACTTAGATTCCAGTATCTACTTTATAGCATAAACCCAGTACTTTAGTAAATCTCTGTCTTTTTACCTACCTTTTTACCAAACTCTTAATCCAAATAGCTCATATATAATTATGATTAGTTTATTGTTATATCAGGTTAGCCTAATATCTATTTCTTCTAGTTTGTTTCAGTGACCTAGTTGGTAATATTTCTAAGACTTCTAACTCAAAAGTTCTTGTCTGTTTAGCTACTATGACTGAGTATTACAACCTTGGTATTCATTTCTCTGAGCTAGCCTTTATAGTAGAGCCATCAAAAATTTAGCTATCTTTCTACTTGGATCTTCTCAAATAAACTTCTTGTTATCTAATTTCAACAAATTTACATAGCTACAAGAACTTATTTAGTGTTTGCATCACCTGATTTGTCAGTTTGCATTCCTCTATATAATAACATACTTACACAAATGCTCTATGACCTGCCAGTTATGCTGATATGACCACTATTACAGGTATTCTAATCTAATCATTAGTAGCAGTTGCCATAATACAAATATTACATAGATGATTATCTAAATTTTTGTTGTCAATAGAATTTGAATACCCAATCTATCACTTAGAGAGTTGACAACCTGACCACTTCACTAGGTCACCACACTCTTTAGAATTTATATAATTTTAGATAAAACTTATTTTATATAATGTACAAAATAGATTATATTTAATTCAAAATTTTATAAAACTAAAACATATTTAAATTCAGATTAAGTTTAAATTATAGACCTATTATAAATTAGATTAGGTTCAAGTTAGACTTATTAAAATATTAAGTTAGGTTCAGTCTCTATTTATTAATTTATAAAACCTAATTATATTAATATAATTTTAAAAAAATTTTATATTTTTATTTAATACATTCAAAATTAAAATTTTATTTGAATGTACTATATAATTGTTTTTGCCAACCTAACAGATTTTAACAAAAAATATAAAAAGATAGATTCTAAATATAAGATAACTTTTAATTTAATGTTTATTTAGCTAATATTAAAGTTAAAAGAATTTAGATTAATATTATATTATAGTTAAAAAAATTTTTATTTATAAAATTAATTTTTTAACAGTTTTTATTAATGGTTTAAAGTAGGTTTTAACTATTGTTTTTTATATTTTTTTGTATTTTTTTTTACTTTGTTTTGTTTTGTTAGAATAATTAAATTTGCTTAATTTAATTAATTAATTATTATTATAAATACTAATAAATTATACTACTAATATTTAATATTATATTTAATTGCCTAATTAAATC